TATATATTAAATATAACAGTTTTATATTAACAGAATTCTAATATTATATATATTAGTAAAGTATATATTTTATCGATGTTAAAAATTTATCCTAGAAAAATGATTTACAAAAGTCATTGGATTTAATTTTATTTAGATCATATTAAGAAAGATCATAATCAACATACTGCATTAAAAAATCAGGCTGATTTATTTAATTTGAAGGATTTATAAAATTCACCTGATTCACTTGATTTATCTGATTGGCTTATTTTATCAAATTCTTTACATATTTATTATTGTTGTTATAATTATCATTATTATTATTTTATATTTTATATCATTATTTTATTATCTTTTATTATTATTTTATAGCTAAAGTTTACTAAAATAATTAATTTATAGTATAGTAAGTAGTTAGTTATAGTAAATTCATTTTGTATAAATAGGATAATTTTTTGCTTAAGTTATAAATTAACTTTTTTACGAGTTTCAAGTTATAAATAAAGGAATCAATTTAAATCTATATAAATTTATTTTTCTCTTTAACATTGTTAAATATAATAATAGTTAGTCATAATTAGTCAATAGTTGATCAATAGTCAGTTAAAGATCTTTGATTGACTGACCAGTTAACTGACTGATTTTAACTAACCAGTTGACTGACCAGTTAATAATATATAATTGAGCAGTTTTGGCTTAATAAAAAGTTTTAATTTAGCCAAATATTTATAATTTTGATCCTTGCTTTAACAATATTAACATGACATTTTTTTAAACTACTTTATCATTTTTATATAGTAACATAACATTATTACAGATTTTAATTTTTTTAAAATTTCAAAATTTTAATTTATAAATAATTAAAATAAAATGTTAATTTTGTTTATTTTTATATAAAATGTTTTTACTATTTAAATATGATTATTCAGTCTCAAATCAGTTAGTCAACCAGTCGATCAAAATTGATCAGAATCAGTCAGTTAACTGATTTGTTAGAAGTCTTTGATTGACTGATATCAGTCACAGTTATGACCAATTATAACCAATTATGATTGTGACTATTAGCATCTCTAAATGTTATTTTTCATTTAAAATTTGTTATACTAACTTACTATTGAGTTCAACATTATGAGTTCAATTAAATATATCTTAAATTCTAAAATGAAATAAATTGCTAAGTTGATTTAAGTATAAGAATACCTGTAGGACTTAAAGAAAATCCTAAGATCAGAAACTCTAATGTATAGAATCAACTACCATAATCTTTCAACTTAAACATTAAGTTAAACTGAAAATGAAACCTAATGATAATATTAAGTAATATAACAAATTATATAAATTCTATATATCTTGATAATATTAAAGATATTATTATATATAATAAAGAATAATTAAAATTTTTTTGCCATTTCAGGTTTTTTTTTATTATAATACAAATTTTATTTATTGATTTTTTTTATTTGAATCCAAAAATTATAATAATAATAAATCAATTGAATTTAATTTTAATTAAAATTAAAGTTTAATAATCTTTTTAATTTAAATTTATTAATAATATTACAAAGAAAATTTTAATAAAATAAATTTTAAAAAACTAAATATTTATTAAATTTTAATTATTAAATATTATATTATTTGAAAAATATTCAATTAATTAAAATAAAAAATTATTTATAAATTTTAATATAATATTTAATAAATTATTTTTAATATTTTAACATATTTTTATAATAATTCAAATTATATAATTATAATATTATAAAATTATAATAATATATAATTATAAAAATAATAAAAAATCTCATTTTATTAATTATTTCTAATATCTTAAAATAATTTGTTAAAAAATATATCATATAGGTTAATATTAGAAAATTAGATAAATTTTGTCAAGTTACACATATAATTTGAATTATTCAAACTATATAAAATTATCCAAAATTATCTAATTTTTCACATTAATATAAGTGAAATCCTTTCTAATAAATATTAGTCATAAAATTAATATTGTATTTTTACTTTTATTTTTTTTTATTTTTAATTAATTTTTTTATTTATCTTTTTTTTTTAAAATTGGTACTAGCTTTCATTAGGTTTTAGCTTTTTAGATTTTAAAAATTGAGTATGTGTATTATTTTTCTTAGTATTCTTAATGTAGGCTGAAATCTTAAAAAATATTTACTAATATTCTTTTTGTCTTTTTTGTAGAACTAGCTTCTTTAGATTCTTAATATTAATATTAATAAGTAATTTTCTTAGATAGACTGGTAATTTTTTCAAAAATATTTACTAATAAAATTCTTTTTGTTTCTTTTGTAGGATCACTTCTTTAAATTTTGGATTCTTAAGACTAATACTGATAAGTTCTTAGATAAGTTAATGTAGAGATACAATCTGATTAGCTGATCATATGACTCCTATACTAATCATTTTCATATTTAAGTCAAAAATTACATAAACTTCAAAAAAGATAGCACTATTTTTAAAAAAATTTAATTTTATGAAACGGGTATCATTGAAAATAAAAATGATCAAAATATTACATGATTTATTTCAATTCTATTGGCCAGAGATCACATTATTTAAATGATAACTAAATTGATCAAATAATCAGATTGCATCTCTAAACTGATAGTCTTCTCAAAAATGTTTATTAATATTCTTTTATTTTTTATAAAATTACTTTTTTAGATTCTGAATTTTTAGAACTAATGTTGGTAAGATTTTGAATAAACTAATAGCTTTTTTAAGAATATTTATTAACATTCTTTTTATTTTTTTGTAAAACTGTTTTTTTGAATTTTAAATTTTTAAAGTTAATACTAGTAAAAAATTTATTTAAATGAGTTAAGTGGTTTTCTTAAGAATATTTACTAATATTCTTTTTGTTTTTTTTTATAAGACTGCTTTTTGAATTTAAATTCTTAAAGAAACCACTAGTAAGTAATTTTTCTTAAATGAACTGAATTAAAGTTTTAATATTTAGAATCAATTTGAGAATTGATTTAATTATAATTATTATTTTTAAGATTTAATTTAAAGATTTAATTATCGATTTTTAATTAATCAAATTAAAATTGATTTTTACACATTAAATTTTATGATGTAGCTAAATCTGAAGACTGACTTAAAACTATATAATTTATGATAATAATTTATTGCAAAAGTTATTTTGTTTAATAATACTATATAATTTATACAATTTTGATTTAATATTTATAATATTTATAATAATTTGTTTATTTATATTTATAATGAATATTAAAATTTTACATTTTTTTTTAATAAAGCTAAATATTTAATTTATCTTCTACTTTATATATATAAACATATTCTCTATTCTATTTTAAAACATAAGTTGATTGATGAAAAATGAATTAAAATGAGTTTTTTAAGATGTACAGTCAACTCTTATTATAATGAACTATATATTCTAAACCTCAACTTCACTATAAGGCTATAGTAAAGATTTTAAGAGATTTTATTAGCTAATTCACTATAATAAGAGTATTTTTATTATATTTGTTCAAAAAATTCGTTATATTAAGAATTCACTATATTAAGAGTTAACTGTAATTAAATTTTTAATATCAGAAAAAAATCTATTTAATAGAATAGATATTGTAATTATAAAAGAATTAAAAAAAAATATGAAAAATACGTGAAATCTAAATATTCTATGAAAATAATAAACACATATTTAGTCATTCATTGATGATATATTATTATTATTATTATCATCCACTAATTGATCAGAAGGCGAATATATTGGAGAATAATGATCGTATACATCTGAGTCCTAATAAAAAGTATTTTAATATTAGTAATTAAGTTTAAATACTATTATAAATTTAGTCTGTATACTTACCATTTTAGTGTCGATAATTACTTCAGTCTAATTTTTTACTATATCAGAATCAATTTTTGCTGAAAGATATCTTTCATCAAAAATTACCTCGAGAACTGATTAAATCCAAACCTCATTTAATTGTGTACGTTCTTTTTCAGCTGTAAAAACAGATTTAATTATTAGAGAAATATACATATCAGCTTGCACATCTTCAGGATCGATAAGCTTATATAAATCATCGTATACTTGTCGAATGTTTTTATTTTGCTTCCACTCTTTCATCTGATATTTGGTATAAGTATCTTTAAAAGGTTTTATTTAGTTTATACCAAATGTTGACCACAAACTTTCTTTAACTCTTATTATATAGTAGCCTCTTTTTAAATGAACTGTAGTGAATAGCTAATTTACTAAACATATTAATATACTAACTAATATGATGTTATATAAATTAGAATACTAGTACTTACAGAATTAAAGTTATCAGCTGAAACTATAAATTCCCAAAACTCCAGAACTCTGAAATTAATTTCGGTGGTTTTAAAGATGAGATAACATTTTAACCTTAACCCAAAATAGATTTCAGAGTTTTAGAGATATATTTATTAATAAATTATATAAGTTTCGGGTAAATTAATAATTAGTTTTAACAGTTAAATTTTGATTGGCTATTTTAAAATCATTTGAATTTTTCAGAAAATACAGTATAATTATTTTATAATAAAAATGATATTATTTGAGATCATTTGAGATCATTTAAAATTATATTTTTTTTTTTGAATCATTTTTTATTTTATTTTTTTTTTTACTTGTCAGAAAAGAGAAAATCCTTAAAACACCATTTAAAAAAAAGTAAAATTTTTATTTCAAAAACTTTTATGAATTGCTAATCCATAAATTCTAAAAATCAATTCTATTAGAAGCAATTCGAATGGATTGATAAAATAAGGAGTTAATAATAAAAAATATCACATTTGCATCAGAATTATTGTAGAATGCTTGTAATATTATTAAGCATATAAAATCATGTCCATTCTTAAAAAAAAAGAAAAGGAAACTAGTAAATTCACCCTAAAAAATCACTTAAAATCTTTAAAAAAAAAGAAGAGGAAGTTAGCAAAAGAATGAAACCCACTCCTAAAGAAATTCTAAGAATCCTAAGGAAGACTTACAAAAATCCACTTCTAAAATAAAAAAATTAATAAAATTAGTAAAAAAAAATAAAATTCAACCCTTAAAGGAATCTAAAGAAAACTTACCTCCTATCTGAAAGATCCGCTCCTAAAAAAGAAGAGGAAGTTAGTAAAAAAAAGAACAAAATTCACCCCAAAGAAATCCCAAGAATCCTCAAAGAAGACTTACCTTCTATCTAAAAAAGAACGAAAGATTTGTTTCTAAAAAAAAGAGGAAGTTAGTAAAAAAGAACAAAATCCCATTCAAAGAAATCCAAAGAGCTCCCAAAGAAGACTTACCTCCTATCTGAAAAAGAAAGAAAGATTCGATCCTAAAAAAAGAAGAGAAAGTTAGTAAAAAAAAAGAATGAAATCCACCCTCAAAGAAATCCTAAGAGCCTTTCAAAGAAGACCTACCTTCTATCTGAAAAAGAAAGAAAGATCCAATCCTAAAAAAAAGAAGAGGAAGTTAGTAAAAAAAAGAATGAAATCCACCTTCAAAGAAATTCTAAGAATCCCCAAAGAAGACTTATCTCCTATCTGAAGAAAGAAAGATCGCTTCGCTTCTAAAAAAAGAAGAAGTTAGTAAAAAAAAGAACAAAATTCACCCCAAAGAGCCCAAAGAAACTTACCTCCTATCTGAAGAAGAACAAAAGATCTACTTCTAAAAAAAGAAAAATAAGTAGTAAAAAAGAACAAAATCCACCCTAAAAAAATCTCAAAAGCCCCCTAAGAAAAACTTACCTCCTATCTGAAAAAAGAAAGATCTGCTCCTTAAAAAAAAGAAAAGGTTAGTAAAAAAAAGAATGAATCCACCCCCAAAGAAATCCCAAGAGCCTACTAAAGAAAACTTACCTCCTAAAGAATCCTTCAAAAGAAAACATAACCGAAGAGAATTATCCTAAATTCATAAAAAAAATAAAATAAAATTAAATAAAATAAAAAATAATAATAATAATAATAATAATAATAATAATAATAATAAAAAAAATTCTCTGAATTAAATAAAATAAATTCGAATTAAATAAATAAAAAAAAATCTTCGAGAACTCCAATTGCTAAATAAATTAAATAAATTCAATAATAAATAAACTGAGAATTCTAAATGCTATAAAAAATAAAATAAATTCAAATTAAATAAATAAAAAAAAAATCTCTGAGTACTCCAAATGCTAAATAAATTAAATAAATTAAATAATAAATAAACCGAGAGCTCTAAATGCTATAAAAAATAAATAAAATAAATTAAATAAATTCGAATTAAATAAATAAATAAAAATCTCTGAGAACTCCAAATGCTATAAAAATAAATAAAGAATTAAAAAAATAAAAATAAAAATAAATAAAATAAAAAAAAAGTCAAAAAAAAAATTAAATATAAAAAAGGAAATAGGTATACTCTTCTTTTTTGCGCTTATATTTTGATTGGTCTGCCTTTTCATCTATTCTGTCCGTTTCTAATAATTCATGACCAGACAGCCAAGCGTTCTTATTAGACCAATGGTAGAAAAAGAAAAGGCGAAAGTATACAACAAAAAAAGCAAGTATTAATCGATAATAGATTTTGATTAAATATATAATGATAAGTTTGATATTTTTTGTTTGATTTAAGTGAAGTGAATAAAGAATCAAACTGATGAAGCTTACTTCCTTTTATTAGCAGTATCGGCAAGTGCATTATGAAACCTGAATCATGGTTGATGCTTTCTAGAATCAACATATTTGTCATTACCGAAACTCCATAATGATCGAAGTTGAATTCAAGGTAAGTTCAATTAGTATTTATGCTGAAATTAAAGCAATTAACAAATAATAATTAACTTCGCTTACCTTATAACTATACTCACAATTTTATAATCAAATTTTGAACACGTCTAGAAAGGGTTAACAGTATACTTACTTTTTGCCTATTACTATTTATCGCTTCTTAACAATCAAACATTTGCTTATATAGTATGTTAGACTGCTACTAAATTGACAGCTAGTAAATCATATATTAAAATTTATGAATAATGCTGAAAGTCATGGTATCCTTTCTTTGCCACAGCTGGTTACCCTAAGGTGTTTCTATAAAAAGCATGTGTTGGTTTGATGGTCACTTCAACTTCTTAAAGAATCCTAACTTGAAAAAAATAGAACTATTTTTAATTTAATATATTTTTAAAAATACTATTATTAAAGAAT